GACGCAAAACTCTGGTCAGATCAGCTCAGGTCGTGTACACGTTTACATCACAAACATACATTCAGTGTTGGGAAGGTGACTTTTAAAATCCCCTACAGATTACAGATTACATACAGCTTGTAACATAATCCATGTGAGTAATGTAATCTGATTACTTTGGATTACTTGATATTCTTTAGAGCAGCAAAGACTCGGATATCTTCACATAAGATTTTGTCTGCTCAAAAAACAATAAAAAGCCCAGACTTTACTTAAACATATTAAAAATATTATTGATAGAAGAGGAGGAGACAGGGTCCACATGGCATGGTTTAGTCCTGTTAAATCCTGGTTTAGTCCTGTTAGACCTGGTTTAGTCCTGTTTTAGACCTGGTTCAGATCTAGTTTAGACCTGGTTTTAGCCCTGGTTTAGACCTGGTTTTAGTCCTGGTTTAGTCCTGATTTAGACCTGGTTTTAGTCCTGGTTTAGTCCTGATTTAGACCTGGTTTTAGTCCTGGTTTAATCCTGATTTAGACCTGTTTTAGACCTAGTTTAGATCTAGTTTAGACATGGTTTAGCTCTAGTTTAGACCTGGTTTAGTCCTGGTTTAGACCTGATTTAGACCTGGTTTAGATCTAGTTTAGACCTGGTTTTAGTCCTGGTTTAGACCTGGGTTCAGTCCTGGTTCAGTCCTGATTTAGTCCTGATTTAGTCCTAGTTTAGTGTCCAGCAATGAGTGGAATTACCAAAAAAAAAAAAAAAAAAGCGATTTAGCCCAAAATGTGAAAACAGGAAAATCCCTCTGTGTAATCCATTTATTTCAACAAAGTAACTGTAATCCAATTACCACTCACTGAAACAGTAACTGTAACTAAATACAGTTACTCATAACACTGCATACAGAACACAGAAACAAACATGTCGGATCATTTCCAGCTCTAATAAACTTACAGGAGACAAAACAACAAACGTAAAGAATCTGCAGAGATACTGTTAGTGACCAGAGAAGGATCTGAAATCACCTCTGTCAAACTCTGGATGCACCAGGTCGTCGCAGTCGAGTCAGGCAGATCTGGAGGAGACCTGGAGAACCAGTCGATGGTGGGACAAGTTTGTGGAAGGAGGAGCTGATGAAAATGTGTGACGTGAAAACTTCCGTATGTCCAAAGACGCTCTTGTAGCTTTAAATACAAACACACACGATCCAACTCCACACACTTTTGCGTCACCGTCTGCAGCAGATTTACTCCTGAAAACACTCGTCTAAACATGGAATAAAAAGTGAAGACACGACGCCACTTTTACATCTTCTATTCAGACCCTCATCATATAAACTGACACATGTTTAATAATGTGACGAGTCCTGTGTGTAGTAAAAAGTCCTCCCAGGATCAACACTGCGACTGCGCCTCCAGCCGACGTGTCTCTGTGTGTTTATCAGCAGACGTGTCCTGCTCTGTGTCACTCACACTCCGGGGCCCCTGCGCTCACGTCCCGCCCGCCGATGTGAGGACGCGCGGGGCCCCAAAGCAAATGTACAGACGCGCGCTGCCGGGAAGGACGCCCTTTACTAGAACTGCAGTAAAAATGTCCTCACCAGAGTCGTGTTCTCCCGCCTACAGCCGGGGCACAACGCCGCCGCTCGCCTTAAACTGGAGCACGAAAATATGACCACGAATCCCCGTCCTCCAGTCTCCTCCAGGAAGTTGACCCACGTCAAACTCAAACCTACACAAAAACTATGTCAACCTCTGCGCTTCGTTTGTGCTGCAAAAAGTTTTGTTTGTGTGATTGTGGTTCTTAAGATATCAGCAGTTTTATTTTAGGCCGATGACGTCATCCAGCCCCTCAAAATGTCTCAACACAGGCAGAACATTTTATGAAGCGTTTGTATTTTATTTGTGCTGTTTTGTGCTGTGACAATTTTCATTTGTCGAAGGATATTTCTAAAATTATTAAATTATACTGCGTCATTTCCGTTCAGCTCATGGCAGCGGCTTTAGCAAATGGCAAAAGTAAGTTTATTCAACTGAACGGAAATTATAAAAAATAGTAATTAATTAATAATTATAAAAATAAACTCACACAAATGAAAATTGTCACTGCACAAAACAGCACAAACAAAATACAAACGCTTCATATAAGTTAACATATGAAACATATGAAAATATTTAACATGTTGAGGCACACAAACGAAACTTTTTGCCGCACAAACAGAGCACAAATGATTGACTCCATTTTGTGGCGTGTTAGAACACTTTGGTCCCCAGAGTTAGTCTCCATGTCTGGAGATCTGGTCGTCGAGGGCCTCACCTTCGACCTCTGCCCAGATCTCTCTGCATCGGCCCCATATGACTCCTCCTGCAGGGGGTGGGCCCACGGAAGGGCGGCTCCACATCCCACGTCGCTCCTTTGGGCCCGTGGGGGAAGGTCCGGTCACCAGGTGCTCGCTGTAGAGCTCCCGCCCCAGGCCTGGCTCCAGGGTGGGGCCCCGGTGACGCCAATCCAGGTGACGTAACTGGCCTCCGTGTGGAACTCATCATAAGAGACTTCTGAACCGTTCTTCGTCTGACCTGTCCCCCAGGACCTGTTTGCCTTGGCTGATCCAACCTGGGGCGTGAAGCCCCCGACAACAAAGCTCCTGAGATCATTCGGGCACTCAAACCCTCCACCACGATAAGGTGACAGGTCAAGGTTTTAATGACCGAAAGGACGAGATCGTGGATACAAGCAGCTGAAATGAGTTTCGTCTGCAGGGTGTCTGGACACTTCCTTAGAGATAAAGTGAGGAGCTCAGTCACACAGGAGGAGCTCGGAGTAGAGCCACTGCTCCTCCACGTCGAGAGGAGCAGTTGAGGTGCTCGGGCATCTGTTCTGATGTCTCCTGGACGCTTCTCTTGGGAGGTGTTCATGTCCCACCGGGAGGACACGCTGCAGGGACTATGTCTCTGGACTGGCCTGGGAACACCTCGAGGTCCCCCCTGGAGGAGCTGGAGGACGTGTCTGGGGTGAAGGAAGTCTGGGAGTCTCTGCTCAAACTGCTGCCCCCACGACCCGGCCCCAGATAAGCAGAAGAAAATAGATGAATGGATGGATTACAGCATTGTGAATCTTCCTGGAGGCTGCTGACCCCAATTTGACCTATAAAAGAATCGTTAATTTCTCCAAAACTAAAGCAGCACAAATAAAACTTTTTTGCAGCACAAACGAAGCACAAATGATTGACATAGTTTTTGTGTAGGTTTGTGTTTGATTGGGGCGACTTCACTCAGGTCCTTCAGTCTCTTCACTGGCTCTTCGTGCACTTCCACATGGATGTTTAATTAATTTTATTTGCTTTTAAATGCCTCCATGGTCTGGCCCCTCAGTATCTGTCTGACCTGCCCGACCTCACACCCCCTCTCGTGCTCTCAGCTCCACAGATCAGACTCTCCTCCACTTCCCAAAGACCAGGAGAAAACAGAGATTATATTAACCTGCACCTGTCACTGTATTTGTCACTGTTTCTGTGTTTTATGTAAAGCACTTTGGTCGACTGTGCTGTTTTTAAAGTGCTCTAGAAATAAAGTCGAGTTGAGTTGAGTGTGTTTGTGTTTCCTCTGTAGGACATCCTGGAGAACGAGAGCATCAACCTGGACTGGATGTTCCGCTACTCGCTCATCAACGACATCGTCAAGGTACGAGCGGGAGGGGAAGGAGGGGCGGGAGGGGCGTGCGGTGGGAGTAGCATGGAAAATAAAGACGTAATTTAAAGTGCATACGACAGGACGACTCATTTCACTAAAACATACAGCAGAGGTGATTCCATAACTGTTACCGAGCGACGCTTTTGTTTTGTTTAGTTACAGGAGGCTTTAAACATGCCTTCGCTGCACATAAACTGTTCCAACATTTGAGTGGAATTTTCTGTGCTGTTCAGTCGAGGTATTACGTTTTTGAACTCACCACTTCTTCCTTCCTGTATGTACGTTTTTGTTAGTTTTTTTTTTCCCCCAAAACTGACACTGAGTTAACGTATGTAACTATGGCTCTATGAATCCCGGACCACTAGACGGAGGTGCTTTGTCTCTTAGTCTAATCTGTAGTGAAAATAAAAATCATGTAACATTTTACATCTTCTTGAGTGCATATTTGAGGACAACTATAACTCTGTAAACTGCAGTAGTTGTTAAACCCATTTTGTCAGCAGAACATTTATACCTGCAGTTATGACCAGGATTATTGCAATGTGCTTTATTAGGGCCCGACCGATATGGATTTTTTTGCGGCCGATATGATACAGATAAAATGGGAGTTGAAGATGCCGATATAAAAGCCGATATATTTACTGATGTAAAAATTCACAGTAAATCTTCAATTGATTATAAAACTACTTAGGTCTGGCTCTATTGGATTTTAAACTGGGTTTGTTTAGGCAACATTTAATGTTATTCTGCCTCTTTACGTTATAGTTAAAGACAGTAGGTCGGACTAATGGTGGTCATTAATTATATGTGTAAATGCTGATCATTCACACCTCTGTTCACAGCTCATTTACACACACTTTACACTAGAACAATGTAAGAAAACAGACTGTTTATGTGGAGCTACAGCAGATAAACACTGAGAGCGAAACAAAAGTAGCTTCAAAACCGACATATTTGCATCACTCAGCCTCACACAGGCTCCTCTCAGATCACAAGTCTGCACGAATAAGTTTGATAAAAATGTTTGTTTCTGGCCTAAACTGCGCTGAAGTTAAATTTATTCATCATCAGTCAGTATCATGGATCAGACACGAGAGTGTTTAAAGCAGCGCCTCAGTGTTGCACACATGGATGTTGTAAACAAGGCGCTGGTGGTGCGTTCAGGGGCAGTTACAGCGTTACAAACTCAGACAAATGACTCCGTAGATAAATACTGATGCGGCGCCACATATGAGGACATTTATCTGTCTGTAAATTGGATTAAATGGACATAATATAGAGAGTCTTTATAACGACTATGGGCCCAGATCGGCAAGATTTAGGCTGATATGTCTCCAAGTGCCCACATCGGGCCCTACACTTTATGTTGGTGTCAGCTAAAATGCACTTTGCTGTTTGCAGTGGGTCCAAAACTCAGCGGCTCGACTTTTAACCAGAACCCAGAAACACGAGAGCATCTCACCTGTTTTAGCCTCCCTCCATTGGCTCCCAGTGTTTTTTCGACCCCGTTTACACTGAAACGAATCTGCGTATCACTGTATCACCGTATCGGAAACGATCTGTGTCCAGACACCTTGTTTCTGTGTCCGCAGTCCTTCCCTATCCACACAGCTTTGAGCATATTTATTTAAGTTTTACAGAAATGAAACTTAAAACCACATGGCTCATTTGCATAAACTGAGCGCTTAAAAAACAGCTCTTTCCTTGTGTCGCTGATGTGGTTCAGCTTCTGTCAGACTAAAGGACATGACTCAGTGGAATATGAGTGTTCTTTCTGTGACAGAGGGGTGTTCTGCTGATGGTGAGTCTGTTCTCTACTTCTGTCGCGTTAGAGATGGTTCGTGTTAAACTTTTGAGAGATTATACGTCTGCAGGTCGTACATATAAACTGTATATATGAATATATTCTAGCCTCTTAGTGTTTTGACGGTGAATTAGCTACTTTGTGGTGCATAGATCTACATCAGAGTATCAGTGTTTTCAGGCGTCCACACAGTGCCGGATCAGATCTGTACTCAGATGAATTTGTGGGAGTTGGCGGCATCAGATCGTTCCGTCTTTGGAGCCGTTTTCCATGGGATTAGTGTGAACAAACACTGCATCCACAAGGAAAAAAAAACCCAAATCAAATACGAACTAGTGTGGACGGAGAGAGTCACACTAGAGTCAATTTTAAAAATCGATTTAGAGTCGATTTAAAAATGACTTGACCATGTCGATTAGAGTCGATTTAAAAAAATCTTTTATTTACTTTTAAGTGTACATGGCCTAGCGCCCTCCTACCTCACTGACCCGATCAACCCTTACACCCCCACTCAGGTCAGGAGATCAGCTCCCGCTCGCCGTCCCAATAACTCACCTTGAGCTTCGTGGGGACCGTGTGTTTTCAGTTTCTGGCCCTCGGCTCTGGAACCAGCTGCCTTAGAGATTAGACGAGCAGAGTCTGTACCTGTTTTTAAATCACTCCTAAAAATGCACCTTTTTTTCATTGGCTTTTAACACGTGACATGTACATTTCTTGTTGTTGAGTATCTTATTGTTTTCTGTGTTTATAGTTGTTGTATTGTGTTTGTTTTGTGTATTGTGTTGTGCTGCGATTGTTCTTATTTATTCTGTGTTTGTGTTCAACACATTGGCCAGCTTTCAAGTTTTTAAAGTGCTTTATAAGCAGTGTTGGGAGTAACGTCTTATAAAAGTAACGAATTACTGTACTGCGTTGCTTTTTGCTGTAACGCAGTAATGTGGCATTACAGGAAAAAAAAATTGTAATATTTTACTCGGTACAAATGTCAGTAACATGTGTTACAAAGCTTTTTTAATCTGGATTGAAGTGGTGGATTTTTAGTTTTTCTTCATACAAATTCACTAAAATCAGCAGCGGTGAAACGCAGGAGACGTGCCCGTGTAGACCACTGGGTGACCGCGGGCGAAAGGACCGACGCAGAACTCCACGCTCCACCGGGCGAAGAGCAGCTGACGCCCGATCGAGCTTTGCAGACACACTGTTCCACAGACTCGACCTGGTTTAGTCCTGGTTTAGACCTGGTTTAGACCTGGTTTAGACCTGGTTTAGACCTGGTTTAGACCTGGTTTAGTCCTGGTTTAGACCTGCCTTAGACCTGGTTTAGACCTGGTTTAGACCTGGGTTAGTTCTGGAGTAGACCTAGTTTATACCTTGTTTAGACCTGGTTTAGACCTGGTTTAGTCCTGGTTTAGACCTGCTTTAAACCTGGTTTAGACCTGGTTTAGACCTGTTTTAGACCTAATTTAGACCTGGTTTAGACCTGGTTTAGACCTGGGTTTAGTCCTGGTTTAGACCTGGTTTAGTCCTGGTTTAGACCTGGTTTAGTCCTAGGTTAGTCCTAGTTTTAGTCCTGGGTTAGTTCTGGAGTAGACCTAGTTTATACCTTGTTTAGACCTGGTTTAGACCTGGTTTAGACCTGTTTTAGACCTGGTTTAGACCTGGTTTAGACCTGGTTTAGACCTGGTTTAGACCTAATTTAGACCTGTTTAGACCTGGTTTAGACCTGGTTTAGTCCTGGTTTAGACCTGGTTTAGTCCTGGTTTAGACCTGGTTTAGACCTAATTTAGACCTGGTTTAGACCTAATTTAGACCTGGTTTAGACCTGTTTTAGACCTAATTTAGACCTGTTTAGACCTGGTTTAGACCTGGTTTAGACCTGGGTCAGTTCTGGTTCAGTCCTGATTTAGTTCATATATGGCGCAAGTTCAGGATCTTCAGTTATTTTGTTGAGTAAATTAAAAGTGCTGCAATAATCGTGTAATATTTTACATTTTAAACACAGTCACATTGTAAAATAACGAATCACTTTGAACTGACAGAAACACGTCATAAATAAATCACACTTTACAGTTTTGAAATCACTCGCCCAACAGTGTTTATAAATAACTTTGATTCGGTTCGGTACAGAGACATTCATTATCTGTTGGAAATAGCCGTGAAAGTTGTATTTAATGAGATCAGGAGTTGAACCCACAACCTCGTCCCCGCTGAGAGGAGGAGACGGGAGAACCACAGGGAGGACGCGCACGCTCATCTCAGATTGGTTACATCCAGAGCACTTTTTCCAAACTATGACTAAACCCCCAAATATTCGACTTTGTGTACACTTTCCGTTGAGGTCGCTGGCTTCAGACGAGCTTGGAGCTGCTGAGGGTTGCCATGGTGACAGTGGGAGAGAGAAGAAAAAAAATGCGCCGAACAGAAAAAAAAATGTGTTTGCAGTGCGGAGTTTGTGAGAGCTGCGGCGGAGGTGGGCAGAGGACGAGAGCTCAGAGTTTACCCCACAGTCAGACGCACGGACGAGGTCTCCTGGATCCAGATCAGGAGATACAGGGAGGTTCTGAGGAGGACTGAGGGAGGACGAGGTGAGGTGGAGGAGCAGGGAGTTAGAGGAACATGGTGAAGAAACATGGAGGAGAAGCATTGTGGAGGGACATGGTGGAGGAACATGGTGGAGGAACATGGAGGACATGGTGGTGGAGGGACATGGTGGAGGAAACATGGTGGAGGACATGGTGGTGGTGGAGAGGAGGAGGAGAACATGGTGGAGGAACATGGTGGAGGAGGAAGCATTGTGGAGGGACATGGAGGAGGAAACATGGTGGTGGAGGAGGAGGAGAACATGGTGAGGAAGGAGGAACATGGTGGAGGAAACATGTGGAGGTGTAGAGGGAATGTTGTGGAGGAACATTTAAGTGGAGGAACATGATGGAGATACATGGAGAAGAAACATGGTGGAGAAACATGGTGGAGGAAAATGTTGGAGGAACATGGTGGAGAGACATGGAGGATAAACATGGAGCAGGAACTTGGTGAAGGAACATGTAGGAAGAACACGGTGCACGAATATGGTGGAGGAACATGGGGAAGAAACATGGTGAAGGAACATGCTGTGGGAACATTGTGGAGAAACATGTAGGTAGAGGAACATGGTGAAGGAACATGAAGGTAGAGGAATATGGTGGAGGAAGAACATGGTGGAGAAACATTGTGAACAAACATGTTGAAGGAACATGTAGGAAGAACATGGTGGAGGAACATAGAGGCAGAACATGGTGAAGAAACGTGAAGGAGAAACATTTAGGAAGAACATGGTGGAGGAACATGGTGGAGGAACATGGTGGAGGAAAATGTAGGTAGAGGAACGTGGCGGGGGAATAGGGAGGAGGAACATGATGGAGGAACATGTAAGTAGAGGAATGTGATGGAGATACATGGAGAAGAAACATGGTGGAGGAAAATGTTGGAGGAACATGGTGGGGGAACATATAGGTAGAGAGACATGGTGGAGGAACATGGTGGAGAAACATGGTGGAGGAACATGTAGGTAGAGGAATGTTGTGGAGGAACATTTAAGTAGAGGAACATGATGGAGATACATGGAGAAGAAACATGGTGGAGGAACATGGTGGAGGAAAATGTTGGAGGAACATGGTGAAGGAGCATGTAGGAAGAACATGGTGGAGGAACATGGTGGAGGTGGTAGGAAGGAAACATGGTAGGAACATGAAGGAAATGGTGGAGGAACATGGAGAACATGTGGAAGAACATGGAGGGGGAACATGGTAGGAGGAAACATGGTGGAGAAAGATGAAGGAGAAACATGTGTGGAGGAACATGTAGGTAGAGGAACATGGTGGAGGAACATGGTGGAGGAACATGGTAGGAAGAACATGGTGGAGGAACATGGTGGAGGAACATGTAGGTAGGAGGAACATGTGGTGGAGGAACATGGTGGAGGAACATGTAGGAAGAACATGGTGGAGAGACATGAAGGATAAACACGGTGGAGGAATATGGTGAGGGGAACATGTAGGTAGAGGAACGTGGTGGAGGGACATGGTGGAGAAACATGGTGAAGAAACATGGTGGAGGAGGAACATGGTGAAGGAACATGTAGTAGGACCATTTAGGAAGAACATGGTAGAGGAACATGGTGGAGGAACATGTAGGTGGAACATGTATGGAGAATCATGGTGAAGGTATATGGAGGAGAAACATGGTGGAGGAACATTTAGGAAGAAAAGGTAGAGGAACGTGGTGAAGGAACATGGTGGAAGAACATTATGGAGGAACATGGATGAGAAACATGGTGGAGGAACATGGGGAAGGAACGTGGAAGAGAAAGATTAAGGAGAAACGTGTGGAGGAACATGTAGGTAGAGGAACGTGGTGGAGGAACATGGTGAAGGAATATGTTGAAGGAATATTTAGGACGAACACGTAGAGGAACATGGAGGAACATGGTGAAGAAACATGTAGGAAGAACATGTTGTAGAACCTGGTGGAGGAACACGGATGAGAAACATGTTGAAGAAAGAAGAAACATGGTAGGGGAACAAGCTGGAAGAACATTGTAGAGGAATATGATGAAGAAACATGATGGAGGAACATGGTCCTCCATCGTGATCATCATCCTGCAGGAGATCACCCTACATTATGGTTGCTAGGTAACAGTTATGGAATTACCTTTAGATAAATCAGACAAATACTTTATATATGTACTCGAGTAGTATAATTTTAAAGTAATGTTTTTTTATTTGAGTTTGATTTTTGTCCAGGTGAATATGGAAGGTGTGTAGAACTTTAGTAAGATCATCTCGGGGAGTTTGTGGCCTCCTCAGATTCCTCCGTGTTTTGACTCTCGTTTCTCGTAAACAGGGCATGAACTACCTCCACAACAGTTACTTCGGTTGCCACGGGAACCTGAAGTCGTCCAACTGCGTGGTGGACAGTCGCTTCGTCCTCAAGATCACCGACTACGGCCTGAGCAGCTTCAGATCCTCCAGCGAGAACGACGACACGCACGCACTCTACGCCAGTAAGTAGCCCGCACCATCAACATCCACGACCAAACATGTGTGCCAGGAAATAACCCGCACCATCCACGACCAAACTGAATATATTTTACAGTATATTCAGTTATTTACGTTAGACGCGAGTGTGTAACGGTCTAGCATTAGAGACACTTAGACAAAGGGCGACTCACACTGGGACTTTAGAACTGTGCCGTGCGCAAACACAGTTTCGTAGGGTTCATTGCCGTCATCACACGGCTCTGTTTGTTTACATGTGCTGACACTTTTAGCAGAGAAAAAAGTCCAGCGGCACAAATATCTGTTAAATATGGAGGCAGATGTGTGTCCTCTTACGATACACACTCCTCTGTGAGTTTATGGAGATAAAAACAGCTCTGAGCAGTGATGACAGCCGAAGACGAGCGGCAGATAAACTTCTGTCACAGTCCTTATTGAAGCTGAGCGCAGGTTTACCTTGTGTTTTGGAGCAGATTTTATTCAGGTCTCATATAGTAAAGTCGTGTGTGTGCGTGTACATGAGCAATTGTGCCGTGATTTGGCCCACCTCCTCCAGGCGGCCAAAGTCCCATCTGTCAGATGACCAAGACCAGACCGAGACCAGACCAAGACCAGACCAAGACCAGACCAGACCAGACCGGGACCAGGCTGGTTCGGTCCTGGTTTAGTCCTGGTTTAGTCCTGGTTTAGTCCGTATGCGGCGCAAAAGTTCGGCATTGCAGACGAGGCTGAAGCCCGGGACCAGACAGGGATCAGGACCAAGACTGAGTCTGAGACCGGGACCAGAATAAAGGAGAGGGGGACAGAGTCTGGTGTAGGTTCTGCTCTGGTCTCTGTTCTGTAATATCGGCTCATTTCCCACAGCAACAGTGAGCGTCTCCTCCATGTTAAATGAAAGTTCACGTCTGTCTCAGTTTTATTCGTCACTATCAGAACACGGCCTCTGATTGGTTGATGTGACGCGAATATTCGCACAAAGTTAAAAAATTTCTACTTTGGCGAATTTCGCAAGCCCCGCCCTTTTGGGAATTTGCGCGTCAATGGCAGTTTTACAAATTCGCACCACTCATTTTGCCTATTCGCGCTGAATTGCGCCACCCAATTCACGTCATTCGCGCCGCAGAACTTTATTCGCGCGTCAACGCGCCTTTACACAGGGTTAACATGGAAACTGTTCGCCTTGTTTGTGCCATTCACGTTTGGTCTGGACACAGGTTTAAACTTAGTCTCAGACAAAATGTATTGATCCAAAGGGGAAATTATTTGGACACAGCAGCTCACACATAATATACATTATGATAACAAAGAGTAAATAAAATATATAAACGGTAATAATACACATGTCAAATAAGACATAATTGTATAAATGTAAATGTACAAGTCAAAATAAAATAGAAAAATAAGTAATAAAATATAAAATCTCAGCTGTAGAAGAGCTCATAGGAAAACATGTTGGTTTACATAAGAGTTCACTGACCTGGAGCTCTGAGGTCAGAACATCACACAACATGATTATACATCACACAACATCACACAACATGATTATACATCACACAACATTATACATCACACATTATTATACATCACACAACATTATTATACATCACACAACATGATTATACACACACACATGATTATACATCACACAACATTATCATACATCACACAACATTATTATACATCACACAACATGATTATACATCACACAACATGATTATACATCACACAACATTATCATACATCACACAACATGATTATACATCACACAACATTATTATACATCACACAACATGATTATACATCACACAACATTATCATACATCACACAACATTATTATACATCACACAACATGATTATACATCACACAACATTATTATACATCACACAACATGAATATACATCACACAACATATTATACATCACACAACATTATTATACATCACACAACATGATTATACATCACACAACATTATTATACATCACACAACATGATTATACATCACACAACATGATTATACATCACACAACATTATTATACATCACACAACATTATTATACATCACACAACATTATTATGGAGCAGCAGACTGTTGGGTTTTCGAGAGGTCCTCACAAGTGTTTGTGTGATTGAAATGTAAATGCAGATGAACATCAGAGCCACGTTCAGCTGCAGAAGAGTTTTAAAGCACAAGAATAATAATAATGACCATAAACATACAACGCACACGAACATACAACACACAAACATACAACACACATGAACGTACAACACACATGAACATACAACACACACGAACATACAACACACAACATACAACACACAAACAACAACACACACGAACATACAACACACACGAACATACAACACACAACATACAACACACGAACATACAACACACACGAACATACAACACACACAACATACAACACACACGAACATACAACACACACAACATACAACACACACGAACATACAACACACACGAACATACAACACACACGAACATACACACACACATACAACACACACGAACATACAACACACAAACATACAACACACAAACATACAACACACACGAACATACAACACACACGAACATACAACACACATGAACATACAACACACATGGAACATACAACACACATGAACGTACAACACATGAACATACAACACACACGAACATACAACACACACGAACGTACGACACACATCTATGAAAAGAACACAAACAGACACTGTGTTTGGCTGCACCAGGTAAACAATATTTACAAGCACCAGGAGAAGCCCTGTGTCTGATTGTGTGTGTTGTGTGTGTGTGTTGTGCGTTGTGCGTCCTGTGTCTGATTGTGTGTTGTGTGTGTTGTGCGTTGTGCGTCCTGTGTCTGATTGTGTGTTGTGTGTGTTGTGCGTTGTGCGTCCCGTGTCTGATTGTGTGTTGTGTGTGTCGTGTGTGTGCAGAGAAGCTGTGGACTGCCCCGGAGCTCCTGTTCTACGACCGTCACCCGCCGCAGGGCACACAGAAGGGCGACGTCTACAGCTTTGGCATCATCCTGCAGGAGATCGCCCTGAGGAACGGGCCCTTCTACGTGGAGGGCATGGACCTGAGCCCCAAAGGTGAACTACCCACTATCCCTCAGCCGTCCACACAGGCTCCATCACAAAAAATAACACAAGAGAATAAAAAAATGATACTGTCAACTCTTTAAGAGTGAATACATTTCCCCACTCTTCTAAGAGGCTTCTTCAGCTCTGACACGGTCACTGCCTTAAATCTGTCTGAAGGGACGTCCACACCTAGAGGTTTACAAATAAGGAAGATATTTTATGATTTAAGTTCAGTGAACTACTCTAAGGTGTGAACTGTCACCTGAGTCATACTTTTGCATAATCGTCCCGGGGTGATCTAACACCTATTAGTGCACTCGTAGTAGTAGTAGTTTATTCGGTCACTTTGCAGCAAAAAACAAAAACCAAAACATAGACTACAACCCCATGGACCATCACCGAAAGGGTTTAGGCTGAAGTCAAAAATACTTCTTATGCGAAATCCTGTTAAATAATGACAGAATTCCAAGAAAGAAAAGCAGTGTTTGAAAAGCAAGTGGTGTAGTCCTGGTTCAGTCGTGGTTCAGTCGTGGTTCAGTCGTGGTTCAGTCGTGGTTCAGTGCTGGTATAGTCCTGGTGATCGGCTCGGTGGTTACATATTTGTACTCCGCTATTGTTTGTGTCTCCCCACCTCGGTTCCCAGGTTTTTCTCTGTCTTTTTCATCTTCCGGATAATAACGTTGTTATGTCTCTGAATATTCATCACGACAATCATTTTCAACTTCTGGCGTCAATGCCCTGGACACCAGATTCGTGCTGCGTTGACACCAGAAGACGCGCAGCAAAAACTCAGGAAGTCCTAGACTTTGTATATAAACTGGACGCCTTGACACTGTGGTCTGAACGGGCCTTAGGTCTGGTTCGTTTTCGTTGGTGTGAAAGTGTCAATCGCACTCAGATCCGCACTACATCAAGTGGACCGAGACCTCAAAAATGAGGTGGTCACAGTCCACTGGACTCCGCACCAAATGCCAAATTCTGGTGTGGTCCCTCTGGTGAGAACACCAACTCAAGTCCAAATTAGAGACAGTAGGTCCAAACCAACTATTCCAAATGCATCATGGGACTTCTGCTTGGTGGGATAGGGACCAACCCACGCCATACGTATCCCGGGGCTCCGTGGGAAGACCACTGGGTGAGATGATGCCTCTCGGCCTCGCTTCTGAGAAGTCTGGTGTGTGGAAGAGCCTCAGCATCCCAGAGCCACATGCAGTCAAACCCGCTGTGCGCAGGAGCCTTGGATATATGTCAGTCAGACGTATATCACGCTGATAAGCTTCTTTCAGAGTACAGCAATTCTAAATACTCTGAATAAAAAACATAGTCAGAGACAGTTCACAGCTCAACAGTTTTGAGGTTTAAAGGACTTGACTAATAACTGATCTTTTTTACTGTAACAACGAGGGTGTGGTTGTCTGAAGAAGGGTTCACTCTTTTGTCCAGTTGACAGAATTCGATTTTCTTTTGCGATGTGTGATGTGGAGAACAAATATAAAGCCTAAAAAAATCGACTTGTAGTTTAGTCTGCTTCATCTTCTGCCGGTGTTGAGTCCACATCTGTCTCCTGAGGGACACTGGCCGCTTCACTGTGAGCTCCTGGATTATTTTTCGAGGACTGGGCCTTGTGGACAATACGCTGACTCACATTCATTTCCTGGAGATTGATACTAACTTTATTATATCCAGAGTAACTACCACGTAACCTATTTTAGCCAATTTCCGAACTTTAAATCATGCTGTCGATCTAATAATGAAGTATTTACGATGAAGCATAACACAAAGGCGCACACACACAAACGAAACACATGTGGTCCAGATGGCAGGTCCAGATGGCAGGTCCAGGGCTGAGGGTCTGGACTCTGGAGCAGATCAGCCTGGGCTTTGGAGACTCCAGGAAGTGGGCAGAAACGTCCCAGCTCACAAAGACTCTTCTCCTGGACGGGGACATGTCTCTGACCGTCACATGTTGCTGAATCATTTGCCTCGATTAAAGTAACAATTTGGAATTTTGGACATAGGGCTGCACTTTCTTGTTCTTGTGGATTTTACAGAAACATCACGTCTTGGTCTCTTTGCAGTGGAAGGTGTTTCTTGGTGAACAGTTGGAGCCTTTCACTTTGGCGTTGACTTTTTAAATTCATAACCGAGGTGGAGTGAGGGATTGGGATTTTGTTTTGTCGTGGCTCCACATACAAAATGTTCTCTGTAAACTCAGGATGATTTCTTAGACAGACAAATGTTTCCTTTTTGGTTCTTCCTGTGGATCAATTCTGCCCATCGCCTTCACCTTTTACTATTTTTCAATTCCGTTGGGAAGAGAAACAGTTTGAACAGAGGTTTGAGTCACACACATCTGATTCACTTTTACATTTATGGAGTTCACAAACTTCTGAAGCCCATTTCTCGAGCCGTTTTCCGCTGTTAGGATCCAACAACCACACAATTACGATGTCCGAATCCCAAAACTAAAATATGACAATATCAGAACCAAAAAACCCACTCCACAAAACACCCAAAGAAAATCTATTATTACACCAGACTGTCCATGTGACAGAAACACGTTCATTTTTCAGTGAACTTTGAACTAAACGCAACAAATTTGTAAATCAAGAACTTAAATGTGAATTTGTTCAGATTGAATGATATGAACGGCATGCGTCACTCACACACACCACTTTCATACAAGGCAATGTGAGTGAAGTGTCTTGCCTAAGAACACAACGACAGTTTTGTGACTGGCGCCTCCTGTGGCTCCTGATTTTCCCAGTGTCTCCATCCAAGTCCAGACCAGGTCCGGCCCTGCTGAGCTTCTGAGATCTGACGGGATCAGGCTTTGACAAACCGGTCTGGCCACACTTGTCACTCGACTCATCAGGTGAAAACAAATTCCGACATTTAATTGAACCCGACAGTGACGTACGTCGTTCAAGTCACACAATCTGAACAAATTCAACAACAGCAAGTTCTTGATTTACAAATGATTCTGTCGACACAGACGTTCACATGGACAGTCTGGTGTAATAATAGATTTTCTTCGGGTGTTTTGTGGAGTGGGTCAGACTGTTTTTAGTGGAACCAGTGACCTCTGCAAATACAAGGACTGGATGGAAGAGTTAAAAAAGTGTCTCCACACGTCTCCAACACTCTGGATCACAAGGAAATGAGGCTCTATGTCCAAAATTACAAACTGTCCCTTTAATAACTGCACAGCGAGTGAGTGGATGTTCAGGCAGAACAAGAAACGCTCTCGTCTTCTTCAGTGTCAGATCCGGAGTGAAAGTGTCTGAAAGCAAATGTTAGTGATGTTCCCGAGACGCCTTTTCTCTGTGGACTCTCGCTCCCGTCCCTCTCTGCTCCGTCTCCTCGTGTGACGCTTCGTGTAATTACATGGATAATTGTGAGCGGTGACCTGAGGAGCTCTTCATATGGAAATGACGAGTGGAGAAAAGCTGCAGCTGTTTCCAGAGAGTCCTTCAGACGAGCTCCGCTTAAAGCTGTGGAGATGTTTCAATGAAGAGGAAGGATTCAGCTCACAAACGACAAACGTGTGCTCGGATCTATGGCTCTGAGCTTTGTATTCCAGAGAGACGTCGTGTGGACACTTCTCCAAACACACACACACACTCCGAGCGCTCACCAAACTCAGAATATTAAAATACCCGACTGTTACTGCTGTTAGTTTTTATGAAAATTATTAAAACAAATCAGCCCGTGTTGGATGTTTTTAGTCTTTTCAAGGCTTCAGCAAAATGAAGAGAATTATAAAAATAGTATCAGACGAGGACAGAGAAAGGAGGAGTGAGGAAGCGAGGGATAATCACAAATGAAGAGTTAGAACAGTGGTCTCCAACATTTATTCTCTGGCGAGCTACTGTTAAAAACAAAAATGCCAGAGAGCTACTCATTTTAGTGACCACAACAAATCGAGAGGATTATAAGAAAGAGGGCGAGCCTTGGGGCACAGTTAGACGCTTATAAAACAAAAAAACATTGTCCATTTATTAGTGCACGAAGTTGTTCAGCACAGTTGTATAATTCCAAAATCCCTTGGCGAGCTACTTGGAATGGACTGCAGAGCTCCTGGTAGTTCCCGAGCTCCAGGTTGGAGACCCCTGTGTTAAAATGAACTGGTGGCAGGACCGTGACTGAGGACAGGGCGTGTTTAAAGGGACAGTTTTGGACATAGGGCCTCATTTCCTCGTGAGCCAGAGTGTTGGAGACGTGTGGACCAAGCCCCAGGGTCTCCAAATGGCCATTCAAGTCAACAGGCCGAGCTCAATGGAGCATAACTCCAGATTCGCCTTTAGCACAGTGAGGTTCTTCCGGTGGCTGTGGGCCGATTGATTGAGTCTGTGTATCACGTGATCGCTTTGACCAATTAGAGCAATAGAAGGGAGAGGGTAGCCAGAGCGAAAAATTATAAAGCATTTTTTTGTAGACAACTGAAGGATTTTGAGCTGAGAAAAAGTGAATGACATTTTTTGAAAGTTGTAGATCCCTGTCGGCCGAACACGAGCGGTTTGTGATTACGTTGCCTCTACGAGAAAAATCCTTCCTCAGCCCAGAGAATTTTCCCACTGTAATAACAGTGAAGGGCAAAGTATAGTTCTGCATCGACTTAATGCGCACTGCCGCCATCACCTTGTCACCGTCGTTTTTGATTTATGGTTCTGCGTTGAGGTCTGTGCGCCACGAAGTAATTCACCACCAAAAAATATGTGTCCATTCATATAAACGTGTGTCTGTGTGTTCGACCTGCAGACGTATAATCTCTGAAAAGTTTCACATGAACCATCTCCAACACGACAGAAACACAGAACAGACTCACCATCAGCAGAACACCCCTCTGTCACAGAGAGAACACTCATATTCCACTGAGGCGTGTCCTTTTAGTCGGGGAGTCAACCTCTCAAAAGCTCTAGAAAATGGGTTGAACCTGACATCGTCTGCCGTACTTTTTATTTGTGTGGTTGTTTTTTTGTTGTTAACTGTGACCCTAAGGACCAGTAATTGGAGGGTCTGTTCTTCTGGAAATATCGCAAAAATATATTTTTTGGCTATTTTAGTGTAGGTAACCTTCATTTTGTGATAGAAAATTTTGAAAAATGAAAAATTTCCTCAAATCCTCAGTAGGTTGGGTAAGCTGTCTAAAGAACACATGTGGTGACAACATTCAGTGAAAAAATAATTCTTAAAACACATTTTCTACATGATTTTGGCTCAATTTAATGCCAAATATTTAGTCCAACAGAAGCTGAACCACATCAGCGCACAAGGAAAGAGCTGTTATTTTTTGAGTGGTCAGTTTATGCAAATGAGTCATGTGGTTTTAAATTTAGTTTATGTAAAACGTAAACAAATATGCACAAAGCTGCAAAGTAAGCAAAGGAAAGTGGAGTACAGGAAATGCTTGTAGAGCGGCGGTAGAGACGACCAATCACAGCCCTTATCTGCGTCGCTTTTCCTGTCTGCAACGTTTTGACGCGTAGTTAGAAAATTTCGGGGGTTCACATTGGTGCAGATGATTTGACGCTGGTCTCTGAATTGGCCTTGAGTGTCAGAGGCAGCTACAAGCAACAACAACTCCAGTTATTTTAATAGATCCATGAACATCTGCAGCTCAGTAAACGTGATCACTAATCACTGAACATGTCCCTGATCTGCACTTTGAAAATGAACGTGAGTGAAACTCGTGATCACTAACAGGAAAGTGATCACTGTTATTATCAGATCTACAGTTCTCCCTGTTTCTCCTAAAAACTGTCAAATCCTCGAGCGGCTAAAGTCCTCCTGACCAAGACCAGCTGAAGATCTGGAGATGGTCTCGCTGCTGCTGACAGGTTTAACCCAGCGGCACCAGGACGGGTCAAATGCAGAGGACACAGTTCCCTACGGAGACGAAAAAGTTCATTTGCAAAAACAGAAAGTGGACTCAACGGCAGAGTTTTCAAAGACCAAATCTATTTTAGTGCAGTTAAACTCTTCATGTCATCCATTATGTTATTATTTACACATTTAAATAAATAATGATATAAATAAAATATATAATAAAATAAATACCATAATAAATAAATATAAATATATACAAATTTTGCTAAATGTGTAAGTGTAAAGTGCCGCGTTGTGTTTGTAAAGGTTCTGTTTTGGATGGAGTGTTCCTTTTGCACACGTCACTGATTGTGTTGTTGTTGTTGTTGTTGTTGTTGTGCGGTGTGCAGAGATCGTGCAGAAGGTGCGTAACGGGCAGAAGCCGTACTTCCGGCCGAGCACGGACACTCGCTGTCACTCCGAGGAGCTCACCATCCTGATGGAAGGATGTTGGGCCGAAGACCCACAGGAGAGACCCGACTTTGGACACATCAAGATCTACATGGCCAAACTCAACAA